CTCGGTACTTCTCAGTACCGTTCGGCATTGCTGACATTGTTGCACCTGATTCGCCTCTGAACGTAAAGATATGTCCAGCCTCCATACAGAATAATTTCTTCTTTTTAATGGAGTAGGATGTGGCATTTTTATGAAAAGATGGGTATGAATAGATCACGATTGTCATAAAAAATGTCAAAGCATCAAACATCAGACGATGGTCATAATTGGCAAGCCAAAGCAAACTAGGAAAACTTTGATCTTATCAATTGACATAGGTTTTATTTGTGACGACTTTCTTATTACTTCTTAAAGTAACTTTTTAGTGTAAAAAAATTATCCCAAACGAAATCATAATCTTATGCCTGAAGGGTTTGAATAGTTTTTTTTAGGAGATTTAAGAATAATTCTATCAGAAATTTGGCTTTGATTTTTGCCAAATATTCATTTTCTTCAAAGCCCAACCCTATAATCTTAGTCAATGTTTTATTTTCTAGAAAAAAAAAAAAAGAGAGCAAGCCCAACTGTATTGAAAAAAAAGAACATCAAACTTCTACGTTGCACTATCAATTACATTCATTCAGATATTTGGGGATCTACTCTTGTTTTAACTTTGGGTGTTGGAAGATATTTTATCTTCTTTATTGATGATTTTTTTAGAAAAGTCTAGATTTATATTTCAAAGCATAAGAATGAAACATTTAAAACATTTATGCAAAAGAAAATGCTATTTAAGAATGAATTTCCAAATCGATAAAAATCCCTACTTTTAAAAAATCACCTGCAAAAAAATACGAATAAATACTTAAAACGATCAGAACAATCATATCGATATCATATCAAAAGTTACACAGATAAAAGTTATCAGAATCTAAAAAAAATGCATTTTGTAAAACCAAATTATAAACGGAAATAAAAAGATCGATCAATAAAATGAGTGCTCATAACAAAAAGAAATATAAACTAAGAAAACACAACAAATTAGCAAGGAGAATATTCATCTCATCATCACAGTGGGTCCATAGTTTGAAGTTGCTTGCTTTTAGGTTTCGTTTGAGATAGTTTTAGGTCACTGTTTTTTTTTTTAGAGTTTAGAAAGAGATTTGTACTAAAAAATAGCTTTATAAAGTTGTAAGAAATTTGTCCTAAATGCTTATAAAATGATTAGATATGTGCAAGGAGTTTAGAACATGTATTATAGAGAAGTAAATAATTAAAAAAACATAAAGTTACTACTCATTCTCACATTTTTACCAAAATATTTTATTCAATGTTGAAAATTACGATCCATTCTAGCCCATATTTATAAGGCACTTAGGCAACCACCATTGAAGTGAAATAATGGAGGAAAAATAATCAGAGAAAAAGTTAATTGATGGTCATTAATGATGAGTTCTAGCCACCTATGTTTAATATTTTCTTCATTCCAAACCATATTATGAGTTCTAGAAACTTAGTAAACCATATTATGCTTGATTAAAGAAAAAAAAAGCAATATAAAATAATAAAAAATAAATTAAATTCAAAATATTATGAATTATATATGGGCTCTATATTGGGCTCCTGATTTGACTCTTATAGCTAGGCATTTTTTTCATGAGCATTACCTGAGCTCATATAACTAAGCTTTTAGTTTGATTATATTGATCAACATGATGTATTACATTAAGGACATTTGAAAATAAATGGTTATTGTATTCATCATTAGCAAAGTTGAGAGGGCAAAGTAGGGGGCACATTTAGCCCTCCAGGTCTTAAGTTTGTAGCAGTTATAATGTATTATAAATATGAGATTATAATGATTGATTGAATTCACTATGGGAAAACACGCGGTTACCGTCAGAGGTTCCAGTGGATTTTTATTCGTCGGTAAGCTTGGCGTTCGTACCGCTCTCCAGTGGGCGAATCTGCAGCTGGCCCTCGCGCTAAGAAATGCTCGCAAGAGAAGCATGGCAAGGTTGGCAGGAACGAAGTGTTAGGGGTTCTAGGCAGGGTTTTTGGGTTTCCGACGTATTAGATACGTTGGAAAACTTTTTCCAACGCGTGCCAAACCTGTGCATGAAAATCTGACGGAAATGCGTCGGAAACATAACTTTCCGTCGTATTTTCTGTATTACCGGCGGATTTGTTTCTCCCGTAATACCGAGTTTTCCTGTAGTAATTATATATTAACTAAAGCAATTTCTTAATTATTGTGTATGGTATAAGGTTGCAGGTTACTTTTTAAATGGATAAGAGTTGGATAATCAAATCAAGATGGAGTCGCGAATATAATAGAGTTGAAATTTTTTCAGAATTCATTAGTTGAAGCAAGAATTCATTGGGAAAAATATTATGCTTATGTAAATCATACATCAACATATACTTTCATTCAATGAAAGATGTCAAGAATTACATTATCTCTAATGAATTTTTTACTAGATATATTGTTTGAATTGACATGGAGAGGATCATCAAGTATTCACTGGATGCAGGAAATGAATATGTTGGTAGTGCCTCTGATTTGATATCAAAACATATTCAAACTGAGCAATCTGATATAGATAATATTGAATGATTATTGAGAGATACATGCATTTGCTCCAATCAATTACTCAATTAACTTAGTAGATCAACATCAAAACCTTACTCAAGACTCAACAAATGAAGGTGAAAAACTCTCAAAGTTATTAGAAGGTGCAGCAGTAGAGTTGTATCCAGGATGCAAGACATTTTTGAATATATCATTCATATTGCAATTATTTGTTTGAAATGTCTAGATTCCTGGATTGCACGATCTTTCTATATGTTGTTAAAGTTATTGATCGAAATATTTCCAAGGAGATTTAATTGACCAAAAATACATAAGAGATTAAAAAATTCATGAAGGTTTTTTATCTTTGTTATATATACACATATGCCCTAGCGATTGCATGTTATTTTGGGGTGATAAGTCTAATTAAAATGTATTGGCAGCTTGTGTAGCATCAAGATGAGATTTTAACCAAAAGAGCAATATTACACAAGGAAAAACAACACAAATGCAGGCTGCTTAAAATTGTTCGATATTTTTCCTTGATTCCTAGACTACCAAGATTACTTAAAACCCAAAAATCTAAAGAAGAGATGTTGGCATGCTACACAATGAAATAGAGATGACTATAAACGACTCATTGAAACTTTTGAAGTTTATGAAAAAATTAGTTTTATTTGAATGCCAATTAAATTCTTAATGTCTCCTTTATATTATAAATACTTGATGTGATGCTTAATTTATGTAACTTCAAAGGACCACAAAAATTTTAAGTCTCAAATTACTTGAAACAAAAACAAATGATGGACACTATCTTGCCATTGATATTATTTATTTGCAACATTCCACTTTTAGATTTTGATTTGCTTTTCTCATAACATCTTTGATTAAGGGTTGATTACAAATGCAAATAATACAATGTAATGAATAAGTTGTTTTCATTGCTTATAATATTATTTCCTCGTTAATTGTATGATGTTGGATACAAGATTCGTATGATGATAATATTCACTCAATTTGTATTTTAATTATGTTCTTATTGGTTTTTTAAAATCATAATAAAATGCTTTTGATGCATATGCCACTAAATTAATTACAAAATAGCACCGGTTAAAATCACAGCTAATTCCCTTTCCAACGAATACAAGTATAGGAGCTTTGTAGCGGTTAATATGAAAAAAAAAAATAAAATAATGATAAATAAAAGCATAGAAAATACTGGAAATAATAAAATGAACATAAAACTATTGCTTTTTAATTGATAATTAGACAAATTATAGTATTTTTTTTTTAATTTATTTTTGGTAATTAATATTGTCATGATATTCACGTCAAGATTGTTCGACAAATTTTACGCTGGTTGTGCATTATCTAATATAATCTTTCAATTTTTCTCATCGAGGGCCTAAGTCCTAACAACGACATTGTTATAATTTTGTATGAATTTTATTGTGGAATAAAAGCTTGATATTGTTATTGTTGTTATTATTGAGATAATTAATATATTATAATTGTTGATTGATTAGTTTTACAATGTAATTATTTTCCAAGCAGATTAATGACTTTAAAACTCATCATGATCTGAATTTTCAAACATTTTTTTTTCATAAGAACTTGTTTGTGAAATCAAGTCGTTAATAGAGGTATGCCATGCTTAAAAAGCATAAAATAATAATAATAATAATAATAATAATACTAACAACAATTAAAATTGAACGATATATTAGTTGTTTGTAAATTGGATATGCAAATAACAGAAATAAAATAAAATAATTTCTATGTACTTTATTTGATGAAATTTTAAAGTTTTATATTCACTTTTAGATGAATATAAAACACGAATAATCAATTAACTCTTATATTATATTCATCTTAAAATGCATAAGTTTTTTTTTTTTAATATTTTGGTAAAATTAAAATTAGAATTGAAGATGAACCTCATCTAATTCTTTCCTCAAATAATTTCAACTAGAACCGTGCCTTATAATATGCATACAAACCCAACTTCGATGTTGCCTTCGATATGCCCGTAACTACTCGATAATTAGGCCCCATATTAAAGACCAGCGAACCAATCACCAACGTTCCTGCGCAAGTTAGCGGCCCACCACAAAACCATTTTAAATCATTTTTCACATGCATCATATATTTTTAATCTAACCTTGATTAACCTTAATTAGGTTTTGTAGATAATAGGATTAAGCTTTGTCAAGCTACCTCTAGCTAAGATTCTTGACAATATCCTATAGTTGACCACATTTATGTACACATATTAATTAGATTAATTATTATCCCTAACTAAAACCATAGACAGTTTGTTGAAGAGATCTAAATGCCCAATTGCTCACAAGCAACAAAACAATCTCTTTCTCAATGGTCCCATCCTCACAGTTGCAGTTTAATCACAGAGAATCAAATCCACACATTAAAATCATACAAAAAACACAATTTTACAATCATCACAGAAGGAAAATAGAGAAATATATAAAAAGCACATCCTTTTCCCCATGTAAATCCTTCCAAAATCATGTACTTTTGACTATTTCTCCATAAATTACTGACAAAATATATGCTATTTGAACACAAAGGCATATAAAATACTTAGTAATTTCAAGTCTTGGGAGTATGATCAGTAGGGGGAGACTCTAATAATTGGTCTACTTGCCAACTTTGTCTGGGTGCCACACTGTCATGAATTGCTGCATAATTCTGCATCAATGACAGCAAAAAAAAATCCATAAGTTCTAAATAATTTACTCTTATATATTTTCACTGTAAAGAGGATTTGGCTTCGTTTGGGAAAAAAATTATTTTGTGCGGATGCTGAACGGCGTCCATAGACCAACTAGAACGCGCCGCATCATTTTTTTGCTCGTACCGATGCTCGATACCGCTATGTACCGGATGACGTGGCATGTTCTGATTAGTCTCTGGACCATCCGGTATCCGCACATAATAGTTTCTCTAGTTTGAGACAGCCTTTGATCTTTCGCTATTTTCAAAAAAAATTGGTACTAAAAAGTTGCTATAGAAAGACATCACAAACGAAGCCTTAATCTTTATTTAGTATATTTAAGTATTTTTGAGATAGGTTTATAAATAACAAAATATGAATAATGAATTTAGTATATTTAATTATTTTAAAAAATATACTTTTTGGGCAGTAGTAGCAAAATTTTCCTATTTTTTGTTAGATTTTTCACTCACTAAATTAAATTACCTCCATTTTTCTAATGAGCTCCCCTGCAGTCTCTGCTGAAACCACAATATGCCTTGCTGAGCTCTCTATGAAGCCTTCTTCAACTCCTTTGTCAAACAATGCTAAAAGACTGTTGTAGTAGCCATCAACATTCAATAATCCCACCTTCCCAATTTATAAAATATGTAAAGTAATCAATCAAATCACATATATATATATATATAGAAATTTGTTAAGAAAAAGTACTACTCACAGGTTTTTCATGTATTCCAAGCTGTGACCAAGCTATCATTTCTAACAGCTCCTCCATTGTCCCATACCCACCTAAAGTTTAAAAATCAAATACTTTAAAATATTTAAATAAAAAAAATAAAGAGTTTCCATTTTTGCTCACCTGGAAGGGCAATGAAAGCATCAGCATGTTTAGCCATTTCTGACTTTCTCTCATGCATGTCTGCAACTGTCTTAACTTCTCCAATAGTTTCTCCTAAAATCTACAAAAATTTATTTTTGTTTTTTCTGTAACTCTTTCTGTAAGAAGAAGCGTTTTTAAAAGCTTGAGAGTTCTTTACCTCATGAGGTAGTAAGGCTCTTGGTATAATTCTGTATACAAATAAATGAAAATTTTGGTTAGTTTGATGAAATATGAAGCAAACAGAACTAAAAACGATAAGATATAGTGAAAGTTATCACCCTAAGACATGACAGCCACCATCAAAGACTGTTTGAGAAATCAAACCCATGAGACCTATACTCCCACCACCATAAATCAAATTTATCTTCCTATCAACCTGAAGACAGAATGGCATTTTAATAATTTCAAATTGCATAAAATGCACAGATCGTAAGAGCAAAGAAGCTAAAGTTGGCAAGTTTTTTTTGTTTCTGACCAGTAGTTTGCCAAGCTCAAGAGCTGCAGCACTGAAAGAAGGCCTTTTCCCTGCTCTACTTCCACAGAAAACACATATCCTTCTAAACCTTTCTGATTTCTTATCACTGATTCCTTCAAATTTTGTTCCACTGCTTTCTCCAATTTTCTGACGTTTTTTCTCCATGATTCTGTAAGAGAAGCTGAGCACAAGCAAAGAGAGAGAGATAGAGGTAGAGGTTGAGAGAGAGAGAGAGAGAAGAAGAAGAGGAACTCCAAGCTCTTCTTAATTATAGAAGGATACAGAATCTTCAATACTGAATCAGCGTCCACCTCTTTGAGCCCCAACACACCCTTTTGTCTGCTTAAACAACAAGGACATGGTGTTGGAGATTAGCCCAACAAGAATGCCTCTTCAGCTCTCCTTTTATTATCTCCCACTCATCCACTCTCTCTCTCTCTCTCTCTCTCTCTCTCTCTCTCTTCATTTGTTGATGCATGTAACAGTATTAGGCTTAATCATATCAGAAATTTAAGTGATCAACTCCCAATCATGAGCTTAAGCATTTGAGTTGAATATAATTTTTTTAGTTAAAATACCAATTTTATCTTTGTTTCTCCAGTGATCCACCCTCTAATGGGCGATATTAGAGTATTATTAGAACCGAAAATTCATATTTTTGTGACTCTTATAATTCTATGATCATTTATGACATACTCAGGCTTCATTTGGGTCGACTTTCTTGGCAAATGCTTCTTAAAACAACTTTCTAGCACAAAAAATTTAATTTTTATACTAAAAAATTGTTTTAAGAAGTAATAAGAAAACCGTCCCAAACGGGCCTTAGTGTTGTGACTCCCATAAGTGGGACATATGAAAATTTAATCCAACATAGATTAATTAAAAATATATTAAGGTAAAATAATAAGTGGTTGACCACACCATTAGACTCAATTTTATTCTCTCTTCCATTCATACTTCCCTAAATGCAAGGCAGGAAAACAAGCCAAAAGCTTTGCTTTAGTGCATATCCAATCAGTACTTTTGTGCTGATATTTTCTCCATTATAATATGTTCTGATATGTTCCTCATCCTGTTCTCAGCATATTTACTGCCAATTATCACTGCACCACTATATGACACAATTCACTCTTTTATTTTTGCCGACCTTTTGTTGGAGCCCATCGCAGGCTTTATCTGTACCTATGCCCTGTATGCTTTTCAGACCTCTCAGCCAAAGCTTTGCCCACTTAAGAAATGGTGCTTATTATCATTCAAATTGAATTGTAGCTTTGGTATTGGGACCTCCCCAAATTTACTGCAATCTGATTCTATGTTGCTGTTTTTGGATGGCTGATTTCTCTTTTTTGTTTTCATTTTTGGTTATTTCTGATTTAATCTTCTAAATATTCACTACTATTTGATTATTTATAATCGATCGATTGCAACTTTTCCTTGACAAGTAACTGATATATATTTCTTATTCATATTTTTTACCATCCTAGCTCTTAATATATATATATATATACATATATATATTTTGGGAACAAGTATCCACCCACTGTAACCTCTGAAAGGGCGCTTGGCTGCGTGACTAATCCTCGGCTGACCTAGAAGAGTCACCCACCCCAGAAATCTCCTAACCCGCACTTGATTAGGCCCCACTGAAGAGGCGTTGTCGCTCGAGGGGAATCGAGCACGGGTTGGGACTTCCCAACCGTAGTACTCGCCCACCAACGTGAGCTCGATAAGCTCGGCTCGCGAGCCCATAAATGAGTCGAACGCGAGCTGGCTCGGTTCACTTACACAGTTACACTCCTTAACTCATATACTTCTAAAGTTTTCTTTCGAGTTGCTTCTTTTTAGTTGTGCAGCAGCCCTTTGCTCTATTTGAAGCTTTGCTATTTGATTTGCTTTCAATTTAAAGAATGAAAAATTATAGCTTGTTAATAAGTCTTGTTACTTGGGTTTATTGGTTTCGATTGGTTTGTCTCTTAGTCTCTGGTCTGAGGTCTCTGGGTATTTTTAGCCTTATTAATTTAATGCTGTTTGTTTCTGCTTGCAGCTCTATCCTGTCAATGTCTTTTCCATGATCTTTCTTCTAAAATATCTCACTTTGTTTAGTAGTTAAAGTTAACTAAAATTACATTATTAGCATCTTTTAACATTCCATTTAAAGGCTTTTGTTGGTGCATTGTATTAATATTGTTGTGTTAATGAGCTTCCGTTATGTTGAATGACATAAAATTTTTTCTCTCAAAGATGTTTTTTTTTAATGAACATATTTATAATATTCATAATAATTAAAAAAAAGACATTATCCACAACAGCTTCACAATAATCTTTACAAAACAGTGCAGTCATCCCAAATAGACCTTAAGATAGATGTGACATGAAATTAAAAGTAATAAATAATATAATGATTATATATATTAAAGATGTAATTTGTGTGATATATATCTATTTAAGAAAAAAGAGTTAAAATATAATTAACTGATTTAGACATGCATATCAAATATTAAGTTAAAAGAGAAGCATAATATTAAGTTAAGTGTTGCAGAGATGAGGATGCTAAGGTAGATGAGTGGCTTACTCTCAAAGACGGAATACAAAATGAGCATATATGTGAAAATGTTGGAGTAGCTACAATGGAAGATATGATTATAGAGAGTTGCCTTAGATGGTTTGGTTACATAAAATGGCGGTCTTCCAATGACCTGCTTAGGAAAGTAGATGTATTAGATTTGACTTATGTTAAGAAGGATAGAGGTAGACCTATACCTAAAAAGTCTTGGTTAGAAAATATTAGCAATGACATTTTTTAATTATATTTAAATGAGAATTTAACTTTAATAGGGCACAATGAAGAAAAATGATTCATGTAGCTGACCCAAAAAATTGGGATAAAGGCTTGTTGTTATTGTTGTTGTTGTACTATTATAATAATTTTTTTATTGTTGTTAGAAATGCATATCAAATGAACGAAATTATACTACTAATTGACAAGCATATAAGTTACCATTAGAAAATGACTAAGAAAAAGAAAGAGATTTAAAACTATATGAATAAAAATTGTTGAAATTAACTTACGAAGAATGAATATAACACCTCATACAATATTCAATATAACCGAATTGAAAATGAGAATATAAGAAACCAACTTTAAATAGTTGATTAAGGCCAATGATGATGACAATGATGATTATAATAAATAAATATTACATATAATTTGCTTATTCATGCACTATCATTATGGTCAGCTTGCACATGGAACCTTTAGAATATAAATTTGATGAGAGTCTACAACTTTAGGCTTAAGGTCTTAGGTTAGTTAGCTTGCTTCATTTAATTTATTCCTTCTAACAATAATATTTAATGTCTTTATTTGACCATAATCAAGCTTAACTAATACCAATCATAAGTAACCCAATCATTGCAAATCATCTATGACTTATAAAATAATAAGAAAACACATAAAGTCACAAAATATAGATCCTATATCTTTAACCATTGTAGAAAGGTAATATTCTCCAATTTCAGGTTAAAAACCGCTTTGATATGCACAGCTAAATCATTTCTCTATATGGTCTCATTTATTCATCTCTTCATGAAAAGATAAGTTCAAAGTTTCCTTTCTTTTGTATTCAGGCTGTGAAGCTTGTGACAGGCCTCTCTCTGTTATTGGAATGATGTTTGTTTGCCTAAAATGGGTTAAAAATGCCATATAACCTTCACAATTTATGTTGTCCATTTGCCTTTCTTTGTGGAGATTGATGAGGGAGGAGATGGCCTTGATTTGGCCCCATGCAAATCAATGAGTGCTAAGAAAGCATTTTCTTCAATTTTGTAGCAAATGGACTTAACAAATGAAAGTTATAAAGCAACTTTCATTGCTATGTGATTTCATACGACAAAAGAAGGCTCATCTCAATCTCTTTTTAGGGGAGTTTGTTTTAGTTCAAATGATTAGAAGTGGTTGGAGTTAAAAGTGAGTTTTTTTAAACAAATTTTGGTGGGGTTTGTTTATTTTAAATAGATTCATTTCTTACGAGTTCATTTATATGTATTTTGAATATGGTAAGCTTATTTTAGCTAGTTATCATAGAAATTTGAAGAATAACTTTTAATTTTTTATATGATTCTCAACAAATTTTTAACTTTTTATAAGCTAGGAAGCGAAAAGCTCTAATGAACTTTAAACTTTATAAATTTAATAAAATTGTATCAAACTACATTAACTTTAATAGTATTTTCAAAATCCTGATAATTTTATTAGTGTTGATGAGTTAACATCCACTTTTGCAAGCCTAGTATGTCATAGGATGAATCTCTCAATTTTTATTTTCTTATTATTAGTTTATAGAAGTTCACCATTCACAAGAATGTCCAATACAAGCATTCATAATTGTCGTGTTCCCACAAGCTGCAAATCTATAATATTCATACAATTTACAGCGGTAGAAATATGTCAAAATACCTCTTTTTTATCTCACAACTCAATTTTATGATTAATAGGATGGCTTTCTTACATCTTTTTAAAGTAGCTTTATATTATAAATTTTTTATTTATTTTTTAATAAAAAACTGCTTTAAGAAGCAATAAGAAAGTCGTCCCAAATGAAGCCTAAGAGTTTATCACAAACGGGATTTGCAAAACTATTAGTAGCAAATCTGCCTTATGAAGTCGTCGCCTTTTGTCGGTGATTCATCACAAAAACTTGCCTTGTTCTACAAGCATTCTCAATATGGATTGTTTGTTATGGTTATTGGCTCCTTATTTCTTGTGCAAAAAAAAAAAAAAAAAAGGTTAGAACCCCTAGAGGAAAACCCGTGTATGCTTATGTGTTGGGCAGCTTATTAGCTATTTGATGGAACCCAATAGCTCTCAACATAATTTGTCATCTTAGATGTGATTTGGACTGATTTTGCTGACCCGCTTCTTTTGGTGTCACTAAGGTGATACCACTTGACCCATTAAACTACGAGATCTTTCCTTCTAGGGGTGTCAATTCAGGTCAACGGGGTTGGAACTGACCCAGCACTAGGGGTGTCAATTTCGGGTCACGGGTCAGGTTCGGGTCGAATCCGGAACTGACCCGGGTTCAAACGGGTCGACCCTAACCCGACCCGGGAAGAGAAACGGGTCAGAAATCTAAAGGGTCGGGTCCGGGTCGGATTTTCGGGTCGTGTCAAAAGTTGACACCCCTACCCAGCACTATTCGGGTCCAGGTCAACCCGACTTGACACGAATGACCTGAAGTTGACCTAAAATTGCTAGTTTTTGGGTTAAAACCGGGTTAATCTTCTATTTTTAGGTCAAAATCGGGTCAAAAAAGGGTCAATCTCGAATTTCCGGGTCAAATAGAAGTTTTCGTGTCAATTTCGGGTCA